AGGAGAGGGATAGGCAGGGCTGCCAGGCAGACAGAACAAATAGAAGGAGAAAAAGATAAGAGGGAGGAAGAAGAAAAGGAGGAGAGATGACACCCAGTCACCCAGCTACAGAGCAACCATGGATTAAGAAGAAAAGATACACAGAAATAGAGGAAGGTAAAAGCCCAGAGGCAAAAGGTAGATGGGAAGCCTGGCCTTTATAAGTAAGAATAAGACTCTTGTGTGTTTATTCGGGAGATGGATTGCAGCTTCCCCCCAAGAACAAAAAAAAAAAAAAACAGTAAAAAAACAAACAAATATAACAAACAACAAAACAGGGAGGGTTATAAGTTATTGGTACAGTGAATTCTCAGAACCCTGGGGTTCAATCCCCGCCGCTTTGAGGAGAGTGATGTAAAGCATACAGGACACAGCGATAAATGACTTGAGGATGGCAACATGATAAATCTGGATCAACATGTTTCCAATATCACAGGTAAAATTATTTCTTTTTCTGAAACCAAGGAAAGTAAAACTTTGGAGAAGAGATCTCTACTGTATAAAATAAGAGAGAAACCCCATACACTGAAGCACCCAGTCAAACAAGCCATATGTAAACAAATGTGGGAATGTAGGTGCAGTACAACATACAGGAAAGAGAACAAGAAGGGTAAATATTAGGGGACTGAATGCAAGTAACCAGCATCGTTTTTTTCTAGTTTTGTCATGGACCACCCCCTAGTGTTTTGATGATAGATAAGTATATACAAAGTATTCAAAAGTGAAAGTGTAAAATCCAACACAAAGCTTCACAGTATCAGAGTGGCTATTCTAACTAAATAAATAATTCTATTGAGTAGTTAATTTTTCTGACTGGACACAGAAGTAAATGTGTTACAAAAGTCCAAGAAGTTGGTGGCTACCCTGAGCAGTACAGCAGGACTCAGTCTCTGAAACTACCACCACTAAACTAAAAACCTTTTTGTCTGAGACAGGGTATCATTATGTGAATGAGGCCCATCTATGCCTCCTGAATGACAGGATTAAAGGCAAGCCTGGGCATTAAAAACACTTTTAAGGACACTTCACAAAGTCTAATTTTTCTTGCATAATTATATTGAATTTCCAATTCCTTTTTCTTTTTGCTATTTTTGTGTTTTTGGAGACAATCTCATGTAGCCTAGGTTAGTTTAAACACTTTGCAGTTGAGGACAATTTAGAACCTTTGTTCTGCCTGCCTTCACTACACTGAGGTTGGGGATGAATTCAGGCTTTGTGCATATTTGGCAAACCCTCTACCAATTGAGCTATATCCCCAGCTCTCTATACAAATATAATACTGATTTAACTCATAGAGAACCCCCTTTCCTCCGCTGAAGTTTGTGTAAGTGGGAACAACTTCTAATTAATGCTTGTTACTTACTGTGTTTTTCACTTAGACAACTGGGTTAATATGCACAGCAGGAAAGGCTGACTGTACAGTCATGTACTAGAAATGGATATGTTTCCAGCCTTTTAGAACATGGACTTCAACATGCACGTCAAGTAAAAAATTGCAATTAAATGGGAAAACTGGCAATATACTTCAGTGGGCAAAAGAACCCACAACACAGCCTGACCACCTGACCTTGGCATGTGGGACACATGTTGTGAAAGGGAGCTGACCTCTGACCTGTGCAAACTAAATTTGTTTTGAACTATGGCTTCCCTTGTAGAACCTCTAACCCATACTTAGATATGAGTTAGTCTCTGGGACTCTGAGAAACCCACATCCACACTTTCAAATATACTTTAGTTGAACACCTTTTTTTTGGGGGGGGGATTGGGGTTTCAAGACAGGGCTTCACTGTGTAGACCAGGCTGGCCTCAAATTCACGGAGATCTGTCTGCCTCTGCCTCTGGAGTGCTGGGATGAAAGGCGTGCACCACCACTGCCCAGCTCACTTCTTTGCTCTTAACTCTCCTGCTAACTGAAGCCAATATTAACATATCTTTAATAAAATCTCCAATTCTGCTTCATTAAAAAAAGGTCCATGGTAAAATATCCAGATCATTAAGCTTATCACTTTAATCATTTTATGGGTACAATTCAATTAAAGTATACTTATATTATTGTGGATATTCACAGGATGACTAATATTTCTGCATAAAAATGCAATTGCTAAGTATACGAGCAAATATACTTAGCTGAGATGTTGTTAGTATAAATACATTTTTAATACAACAGATAATTTTCTAAGTATATTTGTCTCCTTTGAAGCTGGATATATATTTTGACAAAAAGTGGGATAATATCCAGAACTTCCTGTGTGTAGTGATACATTATTTATGATTTATTAAAGCTTGCCTGAGGATTCAGAAACCAAAGTCAGCCACAAGTTATAGAAACCAGGCACACACCTTTAATCCTAGGACTCAGTGTTAAGAGGTAGATGGATCTCTCTGAGTTCAAGGCTACCCAGGAAGACACAAGATTAAATCAGTCTAAAAGAGCAACAGATCACATGCCTTTAATTCCAGTGCTAGAGGGCTATAAAAGATAGAAACAGAGTCTTCAGCAGTCAATATCAGATATTGTTCTCCAGTAACACTGAGGAGAGGCAGCAGTCTGAGGCTTGGTGAAGAGCTCTGGGATCAGCCATTTCAGCCTGAGCTAGTAGCTGGCTGCTTTGCTTTCTGAATCCTCATGCAGGCTTTAATAAATCATAAATAATATATCACCACATGTGAGTTGTTTTGAGGACAGAACACATAAGGAGCTACATACGGCTACATATATCAGAATAATTATCAGTACTAAGTAAGAGATGGGAATAGTTCAGACTTACAACACTTACCTAGCATGCATGAAGCCTTGGCTTCAAGTCCCAGCACTGTAAAACCGAGTACGGTGGAAGCAGAAATAGTTGTGTAGTCACATTCCTCATAAATTATATATAACCTTAACCTTAGGTCTTTTCCTCAGTATTTTATCACGAAAAATTTCAAACTCTCTAAAAAAGTTTTTGGAAGGGGGCAGAACAAATCTAAGAACTGGAAGATGAGGGGGAGTGCTGTGAACTCATGAACCACAGGTAGCTGTGCTTACGTGTGTAAGACGTGCACAAGATTGCATCACGGATGGAGGAGGGATTCCTGAATCCCCATACCCCACCCAGTAACTCTGGCTGCTGGAGGAGGGAGTAAATTTAGTGGTGTAGCCACTGATAACTTGCCCACACTCCTGTAAACAACCCGGACCCATGGTTATGCAATCAATCCTAATTAAATACAGTGGGACACATACAAGACATGAAAACGGCGGTGACTAGGGAGAACATTCAGTGGTGGAAGGGGACGAGTATGGCTGTGGCGTGGAAAGCAAACGTAATACATCTTTATATTCGTTTCTGCAGAGGACATCCGGCATTCCCAAGTGTCTGTAAATTCTTCAGTAGCACTCACTGGCTTATATGAGCCTCTCTGAAGAATGTATGGAAAGCCAGGGCAACGTCTAGGCCTAAGGATTTTTCTAAAAGTCGCCACGGGAAGATGAAAGAGGAATGCCATCAGAGCAAACAACTATGCAATACCTTCTGGAGTCCATGTGGCAGGCAGTAATCTCTCTGAGCACATTTTCATATGCCACACCTAGTCAAGTATGACAAACCCCAGTGTAAGGAAAGCCTGATAAGTGACCAGACTCCTAAACCACTGGAGAAACCAACAAGTTCATTAGTTCTGACAACAGAACACCTGCTCCGTCCTGTCCCGGGATTTAGGATAAAACGTGAGAATTAACTTCCCAGGTGGAGCTTTGTGCGCCCCCGGACCCAAACAGTTAGAGACTGCTGAACAGGGTGGCCAGTTTGTCTATCTGGGGTTGCAAGCAACCACAAACACGAATTTGAACAACTGGTCAGAGCAAGAAGCTGGTGCCCAGGAGAAAAAGTGGAGTTAGTCTCCAAAACCTCACTGGCTGGAATTTAAACAGCAGAGGGCAGTGCAGTTGACTTCTCAAGAGTTTTACTGGCTGGAGGCCCCCCCCCCAAGAATGGGCAACTGGTCCCAGTATGAGCCAATTCTAGGAACCCAGCGATCCTCAAGTGTGCTACGTGTTTAATGTTGCATGCGTGTGGCTCTTTTCCATAACCTCTACTCCAGTGTGGCCGTTAAGGCTCCCTTGTGGATATTCTGACCTTACGGTTTGGGGGTGGGGATGGGATGGGGGCTGGAAGGAGAAACGAAACCCAGGCTTTTAAAAGAGAATGCCTAGCCTTGCATTGTGGAGCGAGGCTTAAAAGTGCGAGGGATCATTTCCCAGGAAGATAATCTGGTTCTTCCCATGACATAGCTGCCAGACCCTTTACAACACACTCGGGGGAGGACATGGGAAAAAGAAACTAATTCTATGGGTTAACAATAGCGACTCTTCACCTCAAAAACAGGCTTTTCGGACGAAGAAGACCTCACTCCTTTAAGTTTCTAAGTCTAGGACCCAGACCGTTCGCCCAGTCTTCCCTCCAGTGCCATCTCCAAACTCGGAGCCTCTGTCCCGGACCCCGGGCAGTGGAACTCTCGGCGGACGCCAGGATCCGCGCTCTCGGGGCCTCGAGGCCCTCCCCTGCTCATACCTGTCCAGCATCTGTTGAAGGGCTTGGTCCGGCATCTTCCGCGGAGCCGGCGAGCTCGGCCCTCGCTCGCAGCCCCGCTCAGGGCCAGGCCCGGGGACAATAGCACTGAGAGGCGACGGAGTAGGCCTCAGTCCCGCGGCGTCCGCGGCCCCGCCACACAGCCTCCCGGCGCGGCTCCGTGAGGCCCGCCGCGGCGATGCGCGGCCGGCGGGCGTCCGCAGAAGGCGGCGGGGAGCGAGGGGGAGGAGCCTGGGGCCGGGAGGCGGCGGTCGCGGCCCGGGTTCCTGCCGGTCCGCCCAGGGTTCCGGTCCATGGACCGCCGGGGCGCCGAGCTGCTGCCGGCGGAGGAGCTACCTCTGTGAGGTAAGAGTCACCGCCTCCGTGCGCGCCGGGGTCACGACGCAGGGGCGGCTCGGAGCAGCCTGGGAGATGTAGTCCTCGGACCGTCCCCGCTAGAGGCTGCACAGCCCGCTGGGACCCCCCGCCGCCGCGCCCGCCGCCGCCGGGCCGGCGCCCTCCCGTTTCCTTCCTCCAGGGGGAAAAAAATGTCCTTCGGGCCGCTGTCCGGGAAGCGGCAGCATGTGGCGCTCCGCTGTCAGTAGCAACAAGGTCAGCGCCCCCTCTCCGCGTCTTGCCCCCTCAGCTCTCGCGCTCAGGTGGGACAGAGCCAGGTGAGGGGAGGTGGCTTGGAGGGCCAGTTTCTGGGTCGGGTCCAGCACGCCCGGCCGCGGGGGCGGGAGGTCGGGAGCTCGGATCAGCCTCGGCCGCGTCAGAGCCCATCTTCGGGTTGGGACCGGGTGACTTAGTGCGGGGCTGCTCCGGAGGGGCGGGCGGGTGGGTAACGCGACCGTTCTCACCGGTGTGCGTGAGTGCACGCGCGCGCGCGTGTGTGCCTGTGTGTGCGTGAGTGTGAGTGCGTGTGTGTGTGTGCGTGCTTGTGTGTGAGTGAGACCAGAGGACCGGGGGTGGGGGCTGGGGCCGGCGAGAGGACCACTCTGCCTCTCCTGGAACCTTCTTCCGAGGTGCTGTCTGTCGCCGCTTGCCGGCAGCCCCCAGAAGGAACGCGCTGGTGAATAAACAGCCCTTGCTTGCTCAGCTGTGAGTTGTCAGGGATGTTTGTTTGTTTCTGCAGCTGGTCACCGTTAACCATTTCTAGCTTCCTTGACACTTCTAAGCAGGTGGATCCGGGCGAGGGATCAAAAAAGGGAGAAGTCACAAATCATCCCTCTGTTTTCTCTGACGCCCGGAGGGATAGCCTTGAGGGAGGAAAGAGCGGTTGTTGACTTAAACAAATGCGTAATCTGGACGACCTGTGGCGTTATTTAGTGCTCTGATTGGTGGGATGTTTGGTAATTTTCCATTACCTATGCTTACATTTTGCTACAAATATCAGGCCTGTAAATGCCAGACTTGGGAAACCGAGACAGAAGGATTACCTGGAATTTGAAGCTGCCTGGTCTGTACAATGAATTCCAGGGGCTATCTATGGTCTTTAACAAACAAACAGACCCCCCCGCAATCCTATAATCCCAGCCCTGGAGAGGTGGAGGCTGGAGGAGCAGGAGTTCAAGGTCACCCTCTACAACTAGTGAGGTCAAGTCTGTTTAAAAAGAACAAACAAAACCCCTGCATGTGAATGCCTGGCAGATCTGGGAGGTTCTTCACAACTTCAAAACCAGTCTGGATGACAGAGAGAGACCCTATCTTAAAACAATAGCCATCAAAACCACCTTTTTTGTTTTAGTTTTTCTTTGGCAAGGACTATATCTGCAGCACAAGTACGACTCGACTCCTGCCTAGACCTCCCTATTTTGGAGTTATAGTCATGACCCACCACGCCCAGGTCCAATGTGTGTTTTCAAAATTTTCACTTAATGTAGAATTTTACAATCAGTTCTTATCTGTATAAATCGGCTTTTGCTCTCTAAATATATTTGTACTACTGTGTACATGGCTGGGATAAATAAAATAAAGCATAAATTTATTTGGCCTCCAACTTCTGAAATATGCATTTTTATTGTTTATTTATTCTGAGACATGGTCTCACCATGCAGCCCGGGCTAGCCTGGAATTCATTATGTAGATTAAACTGACCTTGAAACTCACAGAAATTTGCCTGCCCCTGTCTCTTGGGATTGAAGGCTGTCCCAACTCACAAGGCTATTTTTTGTAACACTTTTTGTGTGGATGCATGTCCGTGTACAGAGGCTTGAGGTCAACTTTGGGTGGCTTCCTCTGTTCTCCTTATTCTTTTGAGACCCAGTCTCATTGAACCCAGCCTAAACTAGCTGGCCAGTGAGCTCCAGGGATCTGCCTACCCTGTGTCATCAACTTTGTGTCTCATCACACATTCCCCCACCCCACCTTCCTGATTACACCACAGGCACACCTGGCTTTTATGTGGGTTTTCATGAAATATTTTAGGATATTATAACTAGTATCTCTTCTCACGAGAAGAGAAATAGGCCTACCCTTGGAAGGAAAATGAGTAGTTTAATCAGGGTATCTAGTATTTAACTTTTTAGAAAATTTTGCTTCATGTACTATATGTAAGCTTATGTCTATTGTGTTTCTCTTTTAAGCTTTTAACTGTGTTGGATATAGATTAACACAAAATTCATTTAGTTTTGTGTAGAGGGAGGCTTTTCCTTGCTAGCCGCTTTGGTTTTTCACCACCAGTTGCCTGGGCTCTGCCGTGTTGTAGTCCCCAAATAACACACAAGACGCTGTATTAATTATGAAGCTGTTGGCCTTGCTTGTTTCTTACTGGCTAGCTCTGACTTAAGTATTTATCCCATAATTGCTAATCTAAGTATTTTCTCTTACCGGACAAGTTTCCGGGCTTCTTATCCCTATGGCGGTTACATCTTGACTCCCTGTGTTTCTCCTACCCAGAGTCCTCTTGGACTCCTAGTCCCACCTATCTTGCTTCCCTATTGGCCAACAGTGCTTTATTGACATATACACAGGATTTCCTCCATCAGTTTTGTGATTTATACTAAAGAGAATTCACAATTCTTCTTAGAATTTTTTGTTGTTGTTTTGGGTCTTATAGACTGGTCTGGCCTTGAACATAAGCCAAGGGGTAATCTTGATCCTGGTTTTCCTGCATCTCCCAAAAGCTAGATCACACAGGGCAATGGTGGTGCACGTCTTTAATCCCAGCACTTGGGAGGCAGAGGCAGGTGGAAAGTGAGTTCGAGGCCAGCCTGGTCTACAAGAGCTAGTTCCAGGACAGCTTCCAAGCCACAGAGAAACTCTGTCTCAGGGGAAAAAACCAACAACAACAAAAAAGAAAAGAAAAGAAAACAACCAAAAACCAAAAGCTAGATCACCAGCTACCATAACCAGCTTTTCTCTTGTTGGTTTCTTTTCTTCTTTTTAATTAAAAAATTGATTATTTTTAATGTGGATGAGCATTTGCTTGAATATTTGTGCACTACATGCATGAAGTGCACACAGAGGCTACAAAAGGGCATCAAATCTGCCACTGGTGTCACAGATAGTTATAAGCTACCGTGTGGGTGATGGGAGTTAAACCTGGGTCCTCCAGATGAGTAGCTAGTTTTGTAAACAGCTGAGCCATTTCTTCAATTCTCTTGGTTTGCCACGCCCTCTCCTTTCAAAATGGCATCTTGGTATGTAGGCCTGGCTGACTTCTAACTAACCATGTAGGGCAGGTTGGTTTTCATCTTGCTAAAACTCTCTTTCTTTGGGGATTAAAGGTGTGGTTCACCATGCCTTTTTTTTTTTAAGATTGTTTTTCACTCTGTAGTCTAGGCTGCTCCCCATAGCCCACAATATCTTTTAACTGGTGGTAATCCTCTTGACACAGACTCCCAAGTGCTAAGATCTACAGGGATGACCCATCATACCCTGCTTTATAATTTGTATTTTACCCTAAATTGGAAATATGGATAGTTATATTGATAACAAATCCCATTTACATTAGCCTTACTATTTCAAAACTGCATTTTATGTTTATAAATACGTATTTTATTAATTAAATTTATACATTTATTTTGCATCCCTACCAATTTCCCCTCCCTCTTCTCCCATTCCCTCCTGCCTTATATTTTTAGGGAAAGTCAATTTTATGTCTGTTTCAAAAACCCTTACTAGTAGAGAACAAATCCTGTTTTGGGGACTGTAGGTGTATACCAGTAATGAGGCATTTGTTTAGCATGCCCAAGGGCCTGGACTTTGCTCCTTAGCAACACAGAGAGAGAGAAGAGGAATGACACCGTTGTGAAAGACAGGAGCGCTTCGCTCCGTAGACACTAGTACATTTCACTAACCCTGTTCAATCCTCTGAGCCCACACGGTAGAAGGAGAGAACTAATTGCTGCAAGTTCTTCTCTCGCTTCCACTCTTGAACTGTGGTACACGTGCAACCCCTCTGCCCAATTAATAAATGTCTTATAAAAAGAAAAAGTATCACTCATTTGTGGACGAATGGATAAAGCTGAATATTGTGGCTCACACTTGTAATCACAGCATTTAGGAAGCCGAGGCAGGAGGATTGTTCCAGGTCAACCTGAGTTACATATTTAGTTAGTGACCAGCCTGAGCTACAGAGTGAAACCCAAAACTCAAAAATCCCCAAATCAAAAAAGAGAGTGATAGATAAATAAACTGAAATTAAAGAAAAAAGTAAAAGTTTCATTTTATGTTAATATAGGTCAAAAATCATGATTAATACAATTTATAAAAATAAAGTTTCACATTTGAAAAAGGTAACACATATAGCCTGGATTTCAGTATTGTCTGTCAACTTTGTTTTCTATGGCTCTTGCATTTTCCAGTAAGACTCAAGATATCTGGAAATACAATTTACTCTTTGGTTTTGAAGGATTCATATTTTGTTTGAAACTTGAGCTAGGAACAGTAGCACACTCCTGTGATCTCAGCACTTGGGAGACTGAAATGAGAGAATTATCAAAGTCTTCTTGGCTGCATAATGAGTATAGGACCAGACTAATCAGGCCTACACTGTAAGACCCTGTCTCCGAAATCTACAGGGTTGACACAGGTAGGATGCTTGCCTGGCATAAACTAAACAATATAGTTGATCCTTAATATCACTTAAAAACATATTATACACATTTGTCATCCCAGTACTCCTCTCAGTAGATAAACAGGAGGGTCAGAAGTTCAAGACCTGGCTGGTGTGAGAATCTGTCTCCAAAAATGTTTAGAAACTAGTCTGAGCACATGCTGAACCTGACTACCTCAGTTGGATCCCTGGGACCAACTGATCTCTTTCACCTTGTCCTCTGACCACCACAAGCACTGTCACATGTACGCTGGCCCACCACCAGAAAAACAACATACATGTATTTCATACATAGTTAAATTTGTGGTGAATGGTAACCAGTCAAGGAAGTAACCAGCATGACTGTAGACATTGTTTTTTTGACATGTTGCTATAGTTCTATTAGAAATTAATTTGTGGCCGGGCGTTGGTGGCGCACGCCTTTAATCCCAGCACTCGGGAGGCAGAGGCAGGTGGATCACTGTGAGTTCGAGACCAGCCTGGTCTACTGAGCGAGTTCCAGGACAGCTTCCAAAGCCACAGGGAAACCCTGTCTCGAAAAACCAAAAAAAAAAAAATTAATTTGTGGCTGGGCAGTAGCGGCACACACCTTGAATCTCAGCACTTAGAGGAGGA